TATATATATATATATATAGGGAAAACTGATCCAGCGCTTGAGCTCAGGAGTTTCCTGCGCTGTTAATCTATGTGGCCATCGCTGATTGGGGATAGCGGAGGCGTGGGTTTTTTTGAAAAAATTCCAGCAATTTTCTTATATATATATATATATAGGGAAAACTGATCCAGCGCTTGAGCTCAGGAGTTTCCTGCGCTGTTAATCTATGTGGCCATCGCTGATTGGGGATAGCGGAGGCGTGGGGTTTTTTGAAAAAATTCCAGCAATTTTCTCTCTCTCCCAGCTTGAAGAATCCCCAAATCTCAATCCCAAGCCTCAGATCCCCAATTCGCTCTTCCTTCTCTCTCCTCTACGCCTCGTCAAAAATCCAAACTCGCTGGATTGACTTACCCTAATCGACACCACGGAGGTCACGGCAGCGGTAGCGCCACAACTCCAATTCGCTGTTCATCTAAGCTCCGATGTTGACGTGGCCCTCGAAGACCCTCCTTCTCTCTCGTCCGACATTGTCTCCAACACAGTTTACCCGTCGAAGACCCTCCCCTTCCCCAACTTTTGGCGCTCGCTCGTGACCCCCATCGAAGCTCCGACGCTGACTATCCCCGTCAAAGGGCTTCGCCGGACCCTAAGCTCTGCCTCCCTGTAATCAGGTCAAGTTGTTATCTTTTGCTGTTCTAGTCATTGGATTGCCTGATAATGCCTCATGCTGTCAATGATACAAGAGTTGCATTTCAATTTACTTATTGAACATCTCAACATATGGATCAGCATGATAACGGCTCATGCTCTCAATAATAGAATAATTGCTTTTCAATTTGCTTTGAATATCTCAACATATGGATCAGCATGATAATGACTCACGCTGAGCTTTGATATATTGGTCATGCTAGCTTTAGCATAAGAGAAAATCAAACAGTGTTTAATATATCCCAGGTCATTTAGACTTGCTTTTAGACAACTACGGATACCATAAAATATTATAATATTTGGAATTTCTTTACAGGTTTTAGAAGACAAATGGCTGAATCTGGTGATAGTAGCGAAGATGTTCCTGTTGATAGTAACAACAACAACGATTTCATGCCTTTTCCAACAACGATGCCTATTGCAAGGTACCTCAGTAATATCATGAATTTCGCTAACATTAAATATGTTGTTTGAAATAGTAACATTATATATTTTTGAACAATTATCTTTATTTCAGAATGCAAATTGGTGAAAAACCGTGTTTAGGAATGAAGTTTAATAGTCATGAGGAGGCCTATGACTATTATAACTCGTATGCATTGATGATGGGATTTGGAATCAGAAAAAGCTCAGTGAATTACTCTCAGAAAGATAAACAAGTGTTGAATAGAAAATTTGTTTGTGACAAAGAATGTTACAGATCTAATAAAGACAAGAGAGATATAGGAAAAAATATTAATCATCGGCGAGAGACTAGAGTTGGCTGTAAAGCAATGATGAGAATAAAATTAATGGAGGATAAAACATGGAAAGTTATAGGTTTTATTGAAGATCATACAAACCACATGCTTAGTAGTCCAGATAAAGCAAAGATGCACAGGTCACATCAACAATTTCATAGAAGTAAAAGGTGTAAAAAAATGATTCAACGTTTGCAAGAAGAAGGTATTACTCCTTCCACTATTTCTCGTATTATTAACGCGACAAGTGGAAGAGAAGATGAATCAGTGACACCACAACAGTGCATTGACTATATGAAGACTCAAAGGCACAACAATATTGGTAATGAATGTATATCTGTTATCCAACATTTTCAAAGAAAGGCGGCTAATGATGCAGATTTTTATTTTGCATTGGAAGTAGATTGTACTGGACAAATGAGAAGTGTTTTTTGGGCAGATGGAAAATCAAGAGCAACTTATTTGAAGTTTAATGATGTCATTGTGTTTGATGTGACTTATAAAACTAACAAGTTTAGTCTTCCATTTGCACCATTTACTGGGGTGAATCATCATAGGCAATCTACTTTATTTGGTTGTGCATTGCTAGCTGATGAACAAGAAGAAACATTTGTTTGGTTGTTTCAGGAATGGTTAAACTGCATGCATGGAATTGAACCAGGTGCTATCATCACAGACCAAGACCGAGCAATGTGTAATGTCATTCATAAAGTCTTTCCAAACACAAGGCATCGTTATTGTTATTGGCATCTACAACGACATATTGCCGATCATTTGCATACTTTGAATTCTGTTTATGGTGAAGAATTTCAAAATTATTGGGACTTGTAGTGTAATAGTGGTAACATTGAGAACTTTAATTTGCATTGGCTCGAGATGAAAGAGAAGTTTAAGATAATAGAAGAAGAAGATGGATGGTTGCAAACTATGTACATGTATCGAGACCATTGGGTGCCATGCTTCTTAAAAGTTTTTTTTTTGCAGGAATGAGATCAACTCAAAGGAGTGAAAGCATCAACTCATTCTTTGATGGATATGTGAATTCACAAACACATTTAAAAGAATTTGTAACTCAATATGAAAAGGCCGTGACACATCGACGATTGAGTGAAGCACATGAAGATTTTAGAACTCTTAATACAAAACCGCAGTTTCACCTTGGGCATCCAATTGAAAGACAAGCTGGAAGTAGTTATACACGCACTATGTTTCATGTATTTCAGAATGAGATCAAAGGGTGTGGTGTTCTTGGCCTTCAAGAGGTGACCAAAGAAGAAAAGTCTGCTTTATGGCGAGTTGGTAACTTAGATGAAAGCAATGAAAAGTGGAGGTTTGTTACTTATGATGAATGTAGAGAATTACAGTATAGTTGCAGCTGTGGTATGTTTGAGAATAGTGGTGTTTTATGCAAACATATATTGTACACTCTAATGTTCAACAGACAACGTTGTTCATTGCCCAGTTTATATATTGTACACCGTTGGACTATAGATGCTCGACATCGTAACATAGGAGTTAGTAATGTTGTGTTTGGCAAAAACATTGCAGGCGGTGTAGAAAAAATAAATCTGTTGAAAACTTGGGCTTTGAAAGCAAAAACCAACAATGCACTGGAGCTTGCCTTTGAGTCAGATAAGAGAATGCATGAGCTTGATTCTTTGTTAACAAGTTTCATAGAGAGGGTTGAAGAAGAAGTCAGAGGGTGTCAACCAATAGATGCTGGTAGCAGCCACATTCCTGACTCAGATCTTCCACAGATACCTACTTCACATACAATCCAACATATTCCACAAATTACAGTTCGTGACCCGGAAAAGCAAGCAAGAACCAAAGGTCGTCCACGCAATGCTACAAGAATTAAATCAACTTTAGAACAAGCTGGGATTGAGTTTGGATTTTTGACGAGGCGTAGAGGAGAGAGAAGGAAGAGCGAATTGGGGATCTGAGGCTTGGGATTGAGATTTGGGGATTCTTCAAGCTGGGAGAGAGAGAAAACCGCTGGAATTTTTTCAAAAAAACCCATGCCTCCGCTATCCCCAATCAGCGATGGCCCGTAGATTAACAAGCGCCAGGAAACTCCTGACTCCTGCAACGCTCGGACCAGGTTTTCCCATATATATAATATATAATATATATATATATATAATATATATTATATATAAATATATATATATATATATATATAATATATTATATATCATATATATTTATATATATATATATATTATATATATATATATAATATAAATATATATATATATATATATATATTATATATATATATATATATATATATATATATATATATATATATATATATATAATGTATGCATGATATATATATACGTGTTTACAAGTCATATCTCAATTTTCATATTCGCGAAAAACATGTTTTATGAACACTTTTCAAAAACAGTGTGTTTTCACAAAAGAAAATTGCTTTTCCAAAAATTCCTTTTCAAACATGATTATTTTATCATTTATAAACTTTCCCCAAAGTTTTACTATTTTTCGAATTGATTTGATATTTTTAACGTATTTTCAAAATCAGCCTAAAACCTGTCAATTGCCATGTATCAGTTTGCAGTCGACCGCCACGGTCGACCGCCAACAGTTAAATTGTTTACTATGGCTTTTAGTTGTTCGTGGTCGACCGCGACGGTCGACCGTGGCTTTATCCAAACACTTTCGCGGTCGACCGCCGCGGTCGACTGCCAGCTTTTAAATTTGTTTTTTTTTTTGTGTTTTTGTGCTTCGCGGTCGACTGCGAGATTTCTACGGTCGACCGCCGAACTCATCATTGCCTTTTTAACAGCTATTTTCTGATTTGAATTTGTGGGGCTATTTTGGTCATTTCAAGTTGGTTTTGGCTAACATTTTGAGTGAGTATAAATACCTCATTGCTGTTCTCTTTCAATAGACTAAGTTTTGTTTTTGCAGTGAAGTTTTAACAAAATCTTAAGTGTGTTTAAAGAGCTGTTTTAAGCTGATTCTGATTATTTGTTTCAAAAGAAGTTTTCTTCAACAAGAAGAGGCATTCAATTCAACTGAGGATCCTATCCTCATCATCCTCCATTGTTCTTCTTATTTATTGAGAAGTTTTCCTAACTCATCTTTTCATATAGCTTATAATTTCATATTTATTGAGTTATACATTTTCACTCACTGCTATCACACACACTGTATTGAGCTTAATATTCCATACTATATATTGTGGGTTGTGGTGTGCGATTTAGTGAGTGTGATCTTCATTTGCGTTCTCATTTGTTGTTGAGAACTAACCATTGTACTTAACATTTATTTGTAAGTATCACTTGTAATACACTTGTACACCGAGAGAAGTGGGAGGCGAGAGACGGGGTCGAATCCAATAGGAGTGGCGTTGATTGACGAACCTAGGGAGAGGTTGTATCCGAGCACTTGAGGAGGAGGACACGGGCTAGGTTCCTACACTTAGTGTGTAAAGTGTGATTGTATAGTGTTTGTTGGGTGAGAGTTTTCGGTAAACTTGTAAACGGAGTGTGTAAAAGTTCCGGCTTCCAAACTGGATTGTGATAGTGGAGATCTCCTCGAGGTGAGGAGCAGGGACGTAGGTCGTGGTGACCGAACCTCGTAAACATATCGTGTGTTTGTGTTTTGCTTAGCATATATTTCATTTGTGGCGATTCATATCTTTCTTGCTCATATCTATCTCATATCATTCTTGCAAGAACAAATTTATCAATATAATTTTAATTAGAATTTAATCAGGATTAGATTAGCATAAGACCCTAATCACCCCCCCCCCCTATAAAACATAATAAGGATATAATTATATATGTATTCGACAAACAATATAATAAATCAGAAATATTAGTAATATTCATAAGGTAAAATAATAAATATAAACAAGATACAATAATAATAATTATTACTGTATAATACTAAGTCAGATGTAGTAGTATATGGGATAGTAGTCAAAATTACATAAATACAATCAGCATAAATATACATAAATAAAGATATATAATACATAAAACACGAACTATGGAAGATAAAATAGATTTATAAACAATGAAAATATAAGAAAGGCATAAATTCATATAATAAAAACACTGATGTATTGTAGATAAACATATCATGAATGATTGATGAACATGTGAACATAAACACTAATAATACATGAAACAGAACACGATTAAATACAGTTGATACTAGAAATGATGAATGACTATAAATCAATGTAAAGTATACATCGTAAATATAATAATCTATGTGAATACACTATAATGAAAAGAGAATAATAAGTATAAAAGAATAAAAAAGTAAAAAAAACACAGGTAAACAAAAATAATGCAGAGAGAATGAACAACAAACAATGACATAATAAAAGGACATAAAAATTTAAAAACACCGTAAAATAATTACTGAAAAATAACATGTGTATACAATGTATATTGCCCATGTATTATTTTGTCATTTATGGCAACATACATGTCGAAAACGAAGCAAACAAACAACAAATATGCAAATGCACTATAAACAACCCATGAGTAAATACCATGCATACCCACAAACGCTATTTAGAATTATCTTTATATTAATTATAAAAGAATAATAATTAATGATACGAGATAATATAACAAAAACATATATAATTAGTAACTCAAATTCCAAACCTAACAATATGAATAATTATTTGAATATAAAAATAGAAATACATTGCTCTTAGAAATAATGAAACCAATGTGAACATACTAAAACAACCTAAACAAGACAAAACTGACTAATATGATAACTATGTACTGAAAATGTTGTGAGTTGGAAAAAAATAAAGAATAAGAATGCATATGTAGAATATCAAAATCATGAACTTATTAATGTATATCACTAAAAATATGAACAATATATAATAATCTAGAATATAAGTAAATGATAGATGATATGCACACACACACAATGTAGATATACAAAAGTATATTTAAACACAAGAAAATAATCTGAATATCAAATATGTTATGTGATGTATATGTGAAATCTAGAGTAATACGAAACACTTAATGAAAATAATTTGAACAATTAAAAATGTATAAGTAATAATTTTCATTAGACTATGTTACTTGCACATTTTTAATGAAAAACATACAATATAATACCGTATGTGATACCTAAAATAATGTAATAAATAATAAAAAAATCAATACAATCAAACGATACATAAGTCAAATCAAGAAAACATAGTGTAAAAATAATAACACATAAAATAATGACCGGTACGAGGAAAAAGAAGTTATACAAAGAGAGTGTAGTCGGGAAGTGATGAGACAAGAAGCAGTGAGAAGTTCCGGAGTTAAAAAGTGATAAGGTAGGGACTAAGACATAATTCATCGAGATGATAGGATAAGGGATAACTATAGTCTTACGGATAAAATATGATATGTGTCTAAATTATTCATTATATTCTCACTGATGGGAACTCGGGATTGTGAGCTGCATGGACCACCATAAAAACCTGTCACGCTCCGCTTCCCAAAATACCAGGGAATCGGAATGTGAATAAGCTCGCGACGTATTAGACTGAGGAAAAATAAATACTAAATTATTTCTACTCAATCTAATACGCTAAGCATCAAGCAATATAAAGCAAAGTCACAGGTCCCCAATCAGTAGCGAGAATATAATAAATAACTCAGAACAAAATGATACATATCACAACTAAAATATCATCCCAGACATAATATTCGAGTCGACATGTTCTAATACAAAACACTCCAATTGAAATACTGGAAAATATAAAAATACACTGATCAAGTGGAAAAGGAAAGTGTTACAAAAGTAAACAAGGACTATCGAACAACTAAAGAAAATAACTAAGCTTCGGCTTCTTCTTCTGCTCTGTCTGTAAGGCACTCTTGTTAAGAATACTCTGGATCTTACCGAACCTGTCTGTCCTCTAAATTTAACGTATAACCCGAGAGAACAGGAGTACGTCAGCGTGCATGGTACACGGCAAGATCCCAAAAGGAAGAATAGAAACGGTCGAACAACCAATGTAATAACAGATACAACAACGATAATGATAATAGAAACGTGCAACTAAAACTCTAACAATCTAGATACAACCCACTACTAGAGTATTAACAATCAGAAGAATCCATAAACATCGAGTAACAAGGTCATACAACTAGATAGAATTAATACTTAAAAATCTATAACACGAGACGTAGTACGTCGACGGAATAATCCAAACAAGGAAACCCTCATGTAAATACCATATGTCTCAAATTGTAGATAATTAAATATTAATCCCAATCTATGTATGAAAAGAAATATAACTACTCCACATATCACCAGAATCCATAATCATCCACGGTGATAACCTATATAAGGTGATAATAAAGGAAATTCTAATTGTAGATATATCATCCACGGTGATAACCTATATAAGGTGATAATAAAGGAAATTCTAATTGTAGATATCAAACAAAGCCTACCATAGGACACACAAGCATATTATTCTTATTTTACATGTTATTTGAATTGGAGAAAAATATTTTTATTTATATAATCAGATCCTCGTAAACATATCCGGGGGTCACGCCTTCAAGTCAAGTATTGGCCCTTTGGCCTATGTATATATATAAATCGTGATATCCAGAAAGCGCATGTGCCCATTTATATACATGTTATATTATCCGTCCAATTCCCCTTTATAAACCACATGTTTGTCAGTTTAATTTAAGTGACCGTACATAAAATATTATGCACTAGCCATAGAGTTACCATGGAACGATTTCTGTAAAACTATAAAAATAACCATGACCCATACATGTCCGGTCAAGAGTGCATCGTCTAGTCGATGCTATAATAGTAATAGTCAAAGAAACCTCATACCAGGATATCGATATCAAGGGGACTCGGAACTCCTCACATTGGGATATCGATGTTGAGGTGAGTATAGCCATGC